GTAGGCTCTAAAGTTTTACATTGTTTTGTTATGGAGTGCAGTTATATAACAAACAATCTACATTTGTAAGTTGCACTTTCATGATAAAGAGATTGCACTACAGTACTTGTATGAGGTGAATTGAAAAATATTTTTAGAGTGCAAATATTTAATCAAAAGTAATACAGTGAGCACTGTACACTTTGTATTCTGTGTTGTAATTGATATCAATATATTTGGAAATGTACAAGATCAAAAAATATTTAATAAATTTTAATTGGTATTCTATTGTTTAACAGTGCGATTAAAACTGCAATTAATTGAGATTATTTTTTGAGTTAATCATGTGAGTTAACTGCGATTAAACAACAGTCCTAGAAAATATTCAAAATCAAAAAATCGTTCTGCTTCAAACCCTGCACAGTGGAAACAGCTGAGATTTCCACATGAACTGGTTTGTCCATTTTTTTGATCAGCGTTACTTCTATCTCTAGCACGTGCTTTCCATGTGACTTACCTTACCATTGCCCAGGTTGGACCACTAGGTCAGGAATTGGCAGTTGGGAGGTGATTGGATGATGTATGCCTCTCCAAAGAGAAGGAACTGTTGGGAAGCTGGAGCAGATGGTAACAGGGCAGCACTTAAGAAGAAGGAAATAACTCCTATGAGGTGTTAGATTGGATTGCTGGGTGGGGCTGGGTCAGAGGCTGGGAGTGAGCCAGCTCCCTCAGTGGGAGGGAGAATCAGTTGCAGGGAGGATTAGGGTGTTGGATAATTTTGAGAACTAATTAGTATATGTATCCCCCATGTTTGAAAGGTGGAACATTAGTAAGCCCAGGTCTCAGCTGCAGCAGAAGTTGAGGGTTCTAAGCCCCTCAAAGAACAAGGCCCTTAGTTACTGGTATTGCAATGAATACAAAGGCAAATGAAGTAGCTATTAGGAGCTTAGCAATAGCTGACCCACAGGCATAGACGTTAGCATCTCTCTTCAAGAAATTTAGAGAGGAAATGTCAAGCACACTGTAATGGGGTCAGCGTCCGCCTCTCATGAGCACCCCCTCTGGTTAGGTGTGTCTGCGGTCTTTCAACCAGTCCCAGCCCTGCCATCAGGCTGCACCCCCAGGGCTTCCTCCCTGGAGGCAATGGTTTTGCTCTCTTAGCCTGTTTTGGCCCCAGTCTTCACCTGGGCCTCCTGACAGTTCAGTCCCTTTCTGGGGGTTTACTGATGTCCAATTGTAGGCCCTTCCCCAGAGTGGGGAGGAGGGCAGGCCCACCCACGACTCTGGTCCCAGCCTAGGAATTCTAAGAATAGCAACCATGCACCACTGTGTCCCTTTAGTAAAACTATCTTCGGTTCCCTGGGCCACTTGCCTGCAGCCCCATTCTTGACCAATACCTAACCATTAGCTCAGGGCTCTTCTAAGCTCAGGCCCAGTAGCCAGCCAGGAGCTCTTCCTTGCTCCTCTGGTCTCTACTAGTACTAAGCTGTCCATTGTGTTGGTCTTCCCTTTGCCAGCCAGAAGCCCCTCTGCACTCTTCTAGCTCCAGCAAGGAATTGCCTGTCTCCAGCTCTGTAGCTCCTTTTTATAGGGCCCTCCTGGGCCCTTATTGGCTGCTTCCCCTGCAGCCACTCTGGTCTGCTTGGAGGACCTCTCCACTGCTTCTTCCCTGGGATGAGTATAGCAGGACCCCGAGGCCTCCAGCAGGGGGCCTCTAGGCCTAGTCCACTCCCGTCACACAAAGCCAGAGTTTTCCTTTCCTCTTTTCTACATGGCTGCTGGATTTTTAACTTCCAGCTTGGGAGGCCCAAAGGACAGTCAGTTTAAACATGCTAGATGTGTTATCCCTCATCTAGCACTATAGCACCTCCTACAGTGGCCACAGTGGGTGTGAGCCAACGTTCCTGTACTGGTACTTGAACCTGCAACACTTGACTCAGAGACAAAATTGCTACCAACAGCTTGATTAACTGTACAGGGTTAAGCATAGGCAACTTCCCATCAGAAGGAGAAGAATACATTTTAAGAGGCTTTAAATGTTCCTGTTTTAGTCTTTTTTCATGTTTATAATGGAGACACACTGGGTGTCATGCAGTGTATCTGTAATCAACTGGTTACTATACAATATCAGAGTTGACAGCCAATTTTTCTAACTGTTTTATAATGCTGATTGCACATGTTTTGGGAAGCACGATTTATAAATTACTGGTAATAAATATATACAATTTTTTCCCTTCTCTTTACTTATACATCACCTTTGCCATATTTTGAAACCAGTCTTGTATGCCTGACACAGGTTGAACCCGCATTGATAATAAATGCAACTTCTGCCTCGGTCAAGGTGATAGCCCATTTTCACAGGATGCATTACCTGTGTTGCTAAAGCAGTTAAGATACAAAAAATAATAATTTCATTGAAACAGTTTGTGTTGAAGATTCCCTCCTCTTTCTAAGAGAAGCCTTTAAATGTGCTGAAGCCTTCTCAGAGCTTGTCCTAAAAGTCACCTGCGAAGGACTTTTAAAACTTTGGTCTTGTACCATTTGTGATTCTTGACAACTGTACAAAGAGGGGAGGAAAGGTTTTCTTCTTCTACTTTCTGTTTTCTTACCTTACCGGTATTAGGAATGATAGGTCTGATTCACCTGGTCTTGTTGGAGGACGTAGCAGGTTTATATTGTTGGATCTCCCACCATAATTGAAGGACAGTACTGAATCTTTAGCAAATGTTTCTTTCCCCAGAAATGTTAATCAAAGTCATTAAAGTTAAATGGTGTTCAAACTCAGAGTCAAGCTCTACCCACCATTTTTGTACCATGTTGGCAAGGAATGTGGTTTTATTTTTACCAATGTAGTTATATCGAGACAATCCCTTGTGTAGACTCAGTTATACCAGTGTAAAGATGCCTTTTACAGATATATCTTCTCCCCCTGCCCATATAGGCATAAGGGCTTGTCTACGCTACCGTGCGGGGTCGTGAATAGCATAGCTGAAGTTGATGTACTTAGATCTACTTACTGCGGTGTCTTCACTGCGGTAAGTCAACAGCTGACGCTCTCCAGTCGACTCTGCTTGTGCTTCTCATTCTGGTGGAGTACCGGAGTCGACAGGAGAGCATTGGCCTGCTAAACTCAGGGTTGTGAGTTCAATCCTTGAGGGGGCCATTTAGGGATCTGGGGCAAAAACTGGGGATTGGCCCTGCTTTGAGCAGGGGGTTGGACTAGATGATCTCCTGAGGTCCCTTCCAACCCTGATATTCTATGATTCTATGACCCCCACTGATCCAGCGGGTAGACAAGCCCTAAGATATACAGGTATAACTGCATCCACTCCAGGGCCATTGTACCACTTTACTTATACCAGTATGGTTAAAATGGTACAACTTTTGCATGTAAACATGGCCAACACCTTGATTCAAATCTCACCTCCTCTCAGGCCCAGATCCTGCAATTAATTATATGCAGTTATAATTATATGCACAGCCCTGCACCCATTTTAAGCTCCATAGTCAGTTGCAGGTGTCTCACAATCAATCAGGGCTGTAGTTGCCCAACTTTCAATCTCTGGGATCACAAAATGCTAGAGAGAGAGGACCTGAATTTTTGATGGAAAAGACCAAGTAGGGAAACTCTCCCTCCCAGTAATCTTTTATTTATTTAGTCCTAAAAAAAAATAAAAATTTTAGACTTTCATTAAACATCATAGAAAAGCAAAAAGGACCTAAAAAGCAGGGGTCACCTTTAAAAACTCAGGACCTGTGATTTATGGGGAACTTCCATCATTCTTAGCACACGGTCTCAAAGGCAGAAGTTCCTTTCACATATATTACATTAAAATGAAGTGCCCCTTCTGAGAAGCCAGGCAACATCAGACTGATGCCGCCGTGGTGTGTGTTTGTACTTGATTGACACCTGCCTGGGAGTTTGGGACTGATAACCACAACCTTAAAGGGTTTTTTTCCCTGCTTGGTGAGGGATTGAGAGACAGAAAAACACAGAGATCGGGACAGTTGATGTGAACGGAGCAGTACAGCTGGTGGCTTGAACTACAGTTACTTTGATGGGAGGGTCTGAAAGTGGGGCTACAGCTGTGTACTGTTGCTGCTACTATCTACCTTCAAATCAACCATAGAAACAATATTACCTACATAATGCTAGCAAAAATGGACTGGACACAATATCCTGAGTCTCTTTCATGCCCCATAAACCCATCCCTGACATTCAAATCTTTCCTAACTGCTCAACAGCCAGGACTGATGTATTAAATACATAAACATTGCTAAAATCGCTAAATAACCTTAACTGATAAGAGCATATTTTCTGAAGCAAGTGCTGGGAAACAAACAAAGATTTTAAATAAGATTGCCTACGTTTTCCCACTCCACACAAAAGGGTAACCAGTTTAAAATGATGAATATACTCCGCCAAATGAATACAAAAATGGCCCTTGATATGATATATAATGAACATTTGAAGCCATGTAGTGCTCTCAATCCCTTTGAGCAACTGGAGTTGCACTGTGGATGGGGGACACATTGTTGATGAAAGCTTGTAAAAGTTTTGGATGAACTTATCCAGTCTATTTTTTCCTGTGATAAAGCACCTAAGATATTGCTTCTTTCTTGAGTATCATATTGGTAAGCTTGCAGGCTAAATGCAAGCACTGATACAACACCTAAGCCAAAGCCTTGACATTGCTAACAAGATGGAGTGGTGGGGGAGGCGGGCGAATATATTACATTTAGAGAATCGACCCATCCTTAGAAATTGATTCTACTCCCACTCAAATGAGTGGAAAACTCCCATTGACCTGAATGGTGCAGGATCAATCCCCTACTGAGATCTTCTAATTCCTCTTTCTTACATACATGGGATGAGTAAACTGTCAGCAGCCGTTCACATGAATGTTTTCTGGTTCAATAAAACATTATATGCTGTTGTTCATAAAGCTAGTGAATTTATTGTAAATTTATTTATTTTATTTATTTAATGTAAATTTATTACATTTATTCAAGTAGGGGGCTGGGATAAAGGGAGAAGAACTTTATATTCCAAGGGAATGTTGCCCTCTTAAATTGAGCAAAATATACATTTTGTGAAAGCAAAACTTTATAAAACTAATGCTTAGGATCAATATAAATGTCTCTTCAATGCTTTTAAATTCCAGTAAAAACCATTGTGTTTAAATCAATAAAAACATTGCAATCCAATCATTGCAGCACCAAATCCTGAAAGTGAAACTGGCTTCTTTTGATATTCAGTGCCAAGCCAAGGGATATGCAACAGGTAAAGAGAGAGCATCAGCAAAGACTGGTACACTAGATTTTAAAGGGTCTTTCACATTTAGTACCTAGGGTATGATTAGTAACATAGGAAAAGGAATGTGTGTAGCAGACCTGGTTTAAGTTGACAGAATCCCTTTAAATGTTCAATAATAGAGAGGCAGGTGTTTCTCTGTATCTACCGTTGGGCTCTGAGAATGCCCAGCTACTTCCACATTATACCCACCCTCTGAAGGTCCCATTTCAAAGCAACCACATCTCCTTTCTGAAGACCATCAAACAGGAATTCCTTTGGAAATTCTCAACAAAGCTCCTTCACTGACCACGTTGTAGATCGGGGTTCTCAAACTGGGGCTCGGGACCCCCCAGGGGATCGTGAGGTGATTACATGGGGGGTCATGAGCTGTCAGCCTCCACCCCAAATCCCGCTTTGCAGCCAGCATTTATAATGGTGTTAAATATATAAAAAAGTGTTTTTAATTTAGGAATGGGGGGTCTCACTCAGACGCTTACTATGTGAAAGGGGTCACCAGTACAAAAGTTTGAGAACCACTTTTGTAGATCCTGAAAGATACAAGGCACTCCCTCCCCTAGGGAGTTCAGGGGGCTGATCCCCCAGAGGCCAGTTTTAACTCAAATAAATCCATTAGTCCAATATTAAAGGTGGAAGCTGTTGGGAAGAAGTAATTAAAAACTGGAGGACTGGGGGAAGTGATGTTGAACTCTTCATGGATCTCATATCTAAAGTCCACTTTAAAGCTGCCTTTGGCCGTTTCAAGGAAGATAAGTGAGACCAGGTTTGGCCTGTGTGTTCACAATGAAAAAGCGACCATATTTTAATGCATTTGTTCAATGTAAACTAAGGGGGAGGAGAGGGAGAGAGAGAGAGAGACAGACATATAAACCTCTCAAAGAGCATTAATCCAGGTACACATATTGTAGAATATTAGTCAGTTTCATCCTGGTCTATCTGTCCAAGGAATTACACAGCCCACGTCACCGCAGTATTGAGCGTTAATTAGTGTATTCTTACAACAGAGAAGTGTTATTACCTCTGTGTTACAGGTGGAGAACTCCAGCAGAGAAAGAGTACATAATTTGCTGAAGGGCACACAGGAAGTCTGTGACAGAACCAGGCACTGAATCTGATCTTGAGTCCCAGTTCACTGCCTTAACCACAAGACTACGCTCTGCACTAGCTATCGACAAGTTATCTCATAGTCCCTAATTTAATGTCTCTTATTATAGGCTCTCAGAAAAAAAAATGCCTCATGTCTGCCAGTAGAGGCTGTGCCAAGCTTGTCTCAGCGGGAAGCTGGTCATTGCATACCTTTGTGCTTTGAGAACTTTTGGGATGAAAAGGGCTAAACCAATCAAATTATGATTAATCCTATCTTAGTGTTCACCTGATTACAGGACTGAATCCCAAAGTCCTTATTCAGGACCTAATTCTTCCCATTTATGCTACAGTCACTCCCACTTTATATCAGGGTAAGTGAAAGGAGAAATCAGGCTCTTGGCGTTTACTTCGGCTTTACTCAGGCAAGTCTCTGGTTGACATTGATGAAAGTTTTACTTGAGTCAAGACTAAAACCTAAAGGCCAGATTCTGCTGTCACAGCAGTGTAAATGAGAAGAAAGTCAGTGGAATTATTTAGAATTGACACTGGTGTAGCTGATCAGACTCTTGTCTTGAGTAAGGAATTTAGGATTTAGCCCACTCTAAATACCTTTAAAACTGCAGATAAGATAAATATTCATGTCTAACAAGTGCACTGGTTCTTCTTTCCTGATCTCACTGGTTCTTTGTTCTGAGATTTATAAATAGCACATTTCATGAGAAGTAAAATATATTCTACAGTGGCTAATAATTGTAATTTAGAGTTACAGAAAAGCATGAGAAATAGTGGAGAGAAAAAAAATCAACAGCTGAAAAAGAAACAAAGCTTCTATTCAAGTTGCGCAAATCCCAGACTTCAATCAGATTCACTGCTAACACACCACATGTGTATATAGTATAAGACGCACAACAAAGATAACTGCAGGAGTACAAGGTGACACCATGAATTTAAAAATACTCACCTGTCACTTCTGGAGATCTGGGATCTAATAACAATGATAATACTTTGCATTTCTACAGCATCTTTCACCTGTAGAATAAGTATTAAATAAAATAAATTTGGTTATCTCAGTTTAGCCTATGCTGGATATTTATCAACATCAGAAACCCACATCATTTGGCACAAATGGCAGTCCAGGAGAGACCCACTACTGTAAGAGTAAGTTTGTGTTGTAGTTCAGGACTGAGGAGCAGTTAAAGTAATTGGAGGAAGTTTGCATTATTCATTATTCCTGGCTCTAGTGCTAGCCACCTCTCTTTGACTCACCACAAAAATCACTATATTCACTCAGAGCCATGCGATTGTGCAGCATCTACTGCAAGTTCTAAATCCATAAAGCATTTGTCTTAGGATGCAGTGTTATACATTTCAGGATTTTTTTTTATGCTTAGCATAGAGCTGGTCAAAAAAGGGAAGTCTAGTTTTGCAAAATATGTCAAAATTTCAACATTATTTTTGTTCTGAAGTGTTTGAAACGGACCCAATTTTCATTTTTAACATATTTTTCATGATTTATTTTTTCTGAAAACAATATCACAGTGATTATGGACATTTTCATTTACCAAAGACCCAATTTCTGGTTAAAAAATTAAAAACCATTCTGATACACTTTTTGATCTTTTCAATAAAAAATTTTGGGGAAAAGGCAGCACTTTTTGCAAAAAATAATTTGACAATTTTTCATGAAAAATCTTGTTTTTGAAAATGCCATTTTTTCATGGAAAAATTTTTTGTTTGAAAAATGCTGACCAGCTCTAGGTTAGTGTGATTTAAGCAGGTACATCTCCTACATTGATTTAAATCTGGAGGTTTAGAAGTCTCTCTCTCGCTCTCTCATATGTACACATACTGCTTTGGAACTATATGGCATTCCATCAATTTTGCTTGTACCGTGCAGCAACTCCCATGATACAGTATTAAATTCATCTGGTTTGCAAAAAGCTCTCAAGCCCTGGTTTCTCTTTTACATGACACAACATTTCTGTTCAGCTGCTTGCTTTATTTCAGTGAAAGTGGCTTGAGCTTTTTCTTTAATAGTGTCTATATCCATATTCTGAATGTTCTGTAACTGTCCAAGGATAGACTCCTTGTCTTCTTCTTCTACTTGATCTTCTGCCACCATTTTCTGAAGGTCTTCTGGTAAATCCACATCATCACCAGCCATTTGTATCTGGTTCTCATCCATTTCACTCTGTGAGAAAAACAAATATAGTCCATTCCATTATGACAGCACACTGCCTTTGCTAATATAGAACCTGATCTATCAGCTGTTGAAGGTGATTTTTAGACACAACAAGTGAATTTGGGTGCCCAGCCTGGGAAACCATTAAGAGGTATGATTTTCAGAAAGTGGTGAGCACATGTCCTCTGAAAATCAGGTTCCTTTAGGGTGTTTCAAACAACACTGCCAAAAATGGAGGTACTCAGAATCACTTGACACTTTTGAAAATCTTGGTCATCACTATTAATTGTGGTGACAAGTTGGTACTCTGTGTGTGTGATCTAGCTACATAAACAACGAACAACAACATCAAAATCAACCTGTTGCAACTCCCGGAGCTAATCTGCAGTATAAACTCACTTCTGGAAGCTTATTCTTTCAGCTGTGACCTACAGATGACATGAAGCAATGTTTTTGAGGCTAAGAAGTCGATTATACAGGTGGTCCAGAAGGCATTAGCTTTAGCGAAACGAAATTGTCGGAACGCTGACAGAATATCTATTAGATCCTGAAAACAAAGCCAATGTATCACTTTGCGCAGTGTAAGTGAAAGCTGGAAAAAAATGGATTTCCTCGGACCGTTGGAAAAGGCCTCCGATCAAAGGAATGGTGGCAGTGGTTGGGCTGAGGGTGGGGACTGCCCGTTTAGAATTTGACCATTGTAATGTTATGCTGGGCTGCCACATCCCTACCCCCAAATTAGAAACTCAGTAAGTCATTTTTTCTGATCTGTTTCTTTCCAAGCTGTAAACGATATCTGCAGTTACCATACAATCAATTCTCTGGGGAAAATCAACAGGTGCGGAGGAGCACGTGGTTCAGACAGAGACATCCCTTAGGGGGAGTATCTATAAATGGATATTCCCTGTGTCCTAGTAAGGCGAGGATGGAAGATGATAAAATACGGGTAGGATCTGATGAGAAACAGTCCAATGAAAAAAGTCTCATTCAGTTACGTCATGTAATGGCAGACAGCTAAAAAGGGACACATTTTTAAGTGCTTATATGCCAATGCTAGAAGTCTAAATAATAAGATGGGTAAACTAGAGTGCCTTGTATTAAATGAGGATATTGATATAATAGGCATTACAGAAACTTGGTGGAATGAGGATAATCAGTGGGACACAGTCATACTAGGGTACAAAATATATCAGAAGGGCAGAACAAGTCGTGCTGGTGGGGGAGTGGCACTATATGTGAAAGTAAGCATAGAATCAAATGAAGTAAAAAAATCTTAAATGAACCAAACTGTACCATAGAATCTTTATGGATAATAATTCCATGCTTATATAATAAGAATATCACAGTAGGGATATATTACTGACCACCTGACCAGGATGGTGATAGTGACTGTGAAATGCTCAGGGAGATTAGAGAGGCTATTAAAATAAAAAAACTCAATAATAATGGGGGATTTCAACTATCCCCATATGGACTGGGCACATGTCACCTCAGGATGGGATGCAGAGATAAAGTTTCTTGACACCTTAAATGACTGACTCTTGGACCAGCTAGTCCTGGAACCCACCAGAGGAGAGGCAATTCTTGATTTAGTCCTAAGTGGAGCACATGATCAGTCCAAGAGGTGAATACAGCTGGACCCCTTGGCAATAGTGACCATAATATAATTAAATTTAACATCCCTGTGGTGGGGAAAACACCACAGCGGCCCAACACTGTAGCATTTAATTTCAGAAAGGGGAACGACACAAAAATGAGGAGGTTAGTTAAACAGAAATTAAAAAGTACAGCACCAAAAGTAAAATCCCTGCAAGATTCATGGAAACTTTTTAAAGACACCATAATAGAGGCTCAACTTAAATGTATACCCCAAATTAAAAAACAAAGAACCAAAAAAGAGCCACAGTGGCTAAACAACGAAGTAAGAGAAGCAGGGAGAGGCAAAAAAGGCATCATTTAAAATGCAGAAGTTAAATCCTAATGAGGGAAATAGAAAGGAGCATAATCTCTGGCAAATGAAGTGTAAAAATATAATTAGGAAGACTAAAAAAGAATTTGAAGAACAGCTAGCCAAAGACTCAAAAAGTAATAGCAAAAATGTTTTTAAGTACATCAGAAGCAGGAAGCCTGCTAAACAAACAGTGGGGCCACTGGACGATCAAGATGCTGAAGGAGCATTCAAGGACGATAAGGCCATTGTGGAGAAACTACATGAATTCTTTGCATCAGTCTTCATGGTAGAGGATGCGAAATGTGAAATTGCAGAACTACTAACTGTAGTATGTAACCTAACGTTTAAATTAGCTTCTGTACCAAATGACTGGAGGTAATGTGACGCCAATTTTTTAAAAGGGCTGCAGAGGTGATCCCGGCAATTACAGGCCAGTAAATCAGACGTCAGTACCAGGCAAACTGGTTGAAACTATAATAAAGACCAAAATTTTTAGACACATAGATTAACATAACTTGTTGAGGAAGAGTCAACATGGTTTCTGTAAAGGGAAATAATGCCTCACCAATCTACTGCAATTCTTTGAGGAGGTCAACAAGCATGTGGACAAGGGGGATCCTGTGGATATAGTGTACTTAGATTTTCAGAAAGCCTTTAACAAGGTCCCTCACCAAAGGCTCTCAAGCAAAGTAAGCAGTCATGGGATAAGAGGGAGGGTCCTCTCATGGACTGGTAACTGGTTAAAAGATAGGAAACAAAGGTTAGGAATAAATGGTCAGTTTTCAGAATCGAGAGAGGTAAATACTGGTGTCCCTCAGGAGTCTGTACTGGGACCAGTCCTATTCAACATATTCATAGATGATCTGGAAAACGGGGTAAACAGTGAAGTGGCAAAATTTGCAGATACAAAACTACTCAAGATAGTTCTAGGCAGACTGCAAAGAGCTACAAAAGGATCTCTCAAAACTGAGTGACTGGGCGACAAAATAGCAGATGAAATTCAATATTGATAAATGCAAAGTAATGCACATTGGAAAGCATAATCCCAAATATACAAATAAATGATGTGGGCTAAATTAGCTGTTACCACTCAAGAAAGAGATCGTGGAGTTATTGTGGATAGTTCTCTGGAAACACCCACTCGATGTGCAGCGGCAGTCAAAAAAGCAAACAGAATGTTGGGCATCATTAAGAAAGGGATAGATAATAAGACAGAAAATATCATATTGCCTCTCTATAAATCCATGGTACACCTACATATTGAATTCTGCATGCAGATGTGGTTGCCCCTTCTCAAAAAAGATATATTGGAAGTATTTCTTCACACAATGCACAGTCAAACTGTAGAACTCTTTGCCAGAGGATGTTGTGAAGGCCAAGACTATAACAAGGTGCAAAAAAGACCTAGATAAATTAATGGAGGATAGGTCCATCAGTTGCTATTAGCCAGGATGGGCAGAGATGGTGTCCCTAGCCTCTGTTTGCCAGAAGCTGGGAATGGGCAACAGGGGATGGATCACTTGATGTTTATCTGTTCTGTTCATTCCCTCTGGGACACCTGGCATTGGCCACTGTTGGAAGACAGGATACTGGGCTAGACCAGAGCAGAACGCAAAGCACTGGGTCACGGCCGCTCTGGTCAACAGCACAGACTGGGTCGTTAAAAGTCTCATCAGCGGTGCTGCCCGGCTAAGGCAGGCTAGTCCCTACCTGTTCCAACACCGTGCTTCACCCTGGAAGCAGCCAGCAGCAGGTCCGGCTCCTAGTTGGGGGTCCACGGGGGATCTGCGTGCTGCCCCCACCCCTAGCACCAGCTCCCCACTTCCCAGCCAATGGGAGCAGGGGGGGACTGTGCCTGCTGGCACTGGCCGCTTCTGGGGCACAGTGCAGTCTGTGGTGCCAGGAAAGGCAGGAAGCCTGCCTTAGCACCCCCACTGCACCACTGACTGGGAGCCGCCCGAGGTAAGCCTGCACCCCAACCTCGTGCCCCAATCCCTTGCCCCAGCCCTGAGCCCCCCCCAAACCCAGAATCCGTTCCTGCACCCCAAACCCCTCATCCCCAGCCCCACCCCAGAGCCTGCACCCCAAGCCCAGAGCCCTGACCCCCTCCTGCACCCAACCCCCTGCCCCAGCTCAGAGCCTCCTCCAAAACCCTGAACCCCTCACTTCCAGCCCCACCCCACAGCCCTCACCCCTGCACCCCAAACCTCTGCCCCATCCCTGGGGTATGGGAGGGGCTCAAACATCCCCTGCTCTGTTGGGTTGTGGGCATCAACAATTTTCTTTAACTGGGTTACCAGAAAAAAAGTTTGAAAAGCACTGGGCTAGATGGACCTTTGGTCTGACCTAGTATGGCTGTTCTTATGTTTCCACTAAATCAAAATATGGGGAGTAAGCTTAATACAGAGAAGTAAAATAATCAGCAATTATTTTAAAAAGCGTGAATCTGAGCTACTAAATTACATATATTATGCCTAGAGTCAAACAGTGTTCTATTTATAATACCAGGCTAATGGTCCGGTTACAAGAGAACTGGACTTAACATAACACGGATACAGGGGCGAAAATAACTTAAAGAACTTACCGGTACTCCAGAGTCCTGAGCAAGGGGTCGTGGCCTTGACCAGAAGAGGTGGGGCCTTTAAATACCCGGGCCCTTTAAATCAAGATTTAAAGGCCCCAGGGCTCCGGCTGTGGCTGGGAGCCCCGAGGCCTTTAAATCACCCCCAGAGCTACCAACTGCAGAGGCAGCTGGGAGCCCCAGGGCTCAGGGGCAGTTTAAAGGGCCCCGGATGCCGGCCGCCACTACCGCAGCAGAGCCCCTGGCCCTTTAAATCACCACTGGAGCCCTGCTGTGAGCCCTGTGATTTAAAGGGCCCCAGGGCTCCGGCCGCTGCGGGGTTCGGGTGGTGCTTTAAAGGGCCTGGGGCTCCCTGCAGCGGCTGGAGCTCCAGGCCCTTTAAAGCGCCACTGGAGCCCTGCCACCGCTACCCCAGGGGCTCCGGCAGCGGGGCCTGGGGCTCCCTGCAGCGGCCGGAGCCCTGGGCCCTTTAAAGCA